TGGTACCCCGCAGTCCATTGTTCTCTGCCTTTTGACCAGTAAGTGTTCTGAGATGGTCTCCATCTGGTGCAAAAACAGGCTTTTTTTTTTTTTTTGGTGAGGATCAAGGCTCTTAACTGTTGATGTACGGAGATATTTAGAATGCAGTTAGGAATTGTAGGGTCCATGGAATTAACCAATCACGTGTAGCTGGCTAAATTTATAGTATCAGGCATGAATTTCCTCCTTTTGAGCAGGTCTTAGTTCCAATTGGTGGCTGTTGGTTTTCCCCAGTATATGAGCAGGGCTATCGCACCTTTTGGAATATCACGTCATGCAGGTCATTGTGATTTGTGGGCATTATAGCCAAGTAGGGCTATTGAATGCTTTTCTCTCTTTGCAGCTTACAAGACTCCTTCCAATACTGAGAGCCAAAGGCTTCCAGGCCAGGTCTAGATGGCTTCCTCTAAGTTCTCTGGCTGAAGTGTACAATATCTTCAGCCTGCGATCGTTCCTTCTTTCTCTAGAAGGCACCAAGAATGGCAATGACCAATGTTTTAGGAGTCTCTTAGATTCTCCTGACCAGCAACTTGAAAGAAGGCTTCCCATGTCTGGCATTGGGGGTTTTGTTAGATAGTCTATGGTTTTGCGGGGAGTACCGTCACCCTAAGTAATATGGCCTCAATTAAATTATATATGTATACACACATGTACACACACCTATACACGACCTATGTGTTTTATGCAATTCGTGTAATCATAAAACAGTATATTACCTATGGATTTTTCAAATATCCTCTGTATTATTAAGCCCTCCCTGTCCCTTCTCTCTCTGTGTTGTCCTCACTCCCTTCCCCAGAACTGGGATGCTTCTTATTGTTGTCAGGTGAACTGTTGTACAAATAACACGTTGATCCAGTCAGCAAAAAGCATTGCTCAGGTCGGTATCTTATCTCATCAGCATAACTTACTACTTGTTGTATTAACTATGGAGCAAGGAGTGTTCAGTTCACAGAGGGAATTGAAGGGAAGTTTATTTGTTCTTTTAGCCCAACCGGTGTTTGAATCATATAATTTGAAGCTGTGTTAATAGGCAAATGCACATGCTGAATTGTTCATGTTTGGGAGGTTTGACACAGCATCGTGGATTGCTCATCTCTATACCTGTTAATCTTTCTTTCCTAGCGCTGATACAGCCAGGACAATGGTCTTTTTTCGGTATTTATGTGGTATCAGAATCATTTCACTTTCATCTATGTCTTTATAATTTAGATTTTTTGTTTCTGTTTTTGTTTTTTCAAGACAAGTTTCCTCTGTGTAACCCCTCTGGCTGTCCTGGAACTCACTTTGTAGACCAGGCTGGTCCCCAGGTTGGATGTTCTACCAGCCTCTGTCTCCCGGGTGCTAGGATTAAAGGTGTATGCCACCACTGCCCAGTTATTCTTAGATTTTTTAATTAGGTTTCTTGCAGACATGCAACTTTTTAAGACAGGATCTTCTTCTAGCCAACTTTGACCTGGAACTTACTATCCATCCTTCCAGGCTAGCCTCCCACCGACAGCAGTCCCCTGCCTCAACCTCCCAAATGCTGGTATAATGGACCCCAGTCACCATGCCTAAGTATATCTTGATTTTTTTATTTTTAATTTTTGAGACTGGGTTTCTCCTGTGTAGGCTTGGCTGTCCTGGAACTTGCTTTGTAGATCAGGTTGAGCTATAACTCAGAGATCTGCCAGTCTCTGCCTCCCAAGTGCTGTGATTAAAGGCTTGTGCCACCACTCCCTGGCTAGACTTGCATTTCTATGCCATCTGAAAAGCTCAGTCTTTGAATTAGTGTATTTATAGCATGTATATTTAATTTGCATATTAATGTGGCTGGATTAATAGCTCCCATCTTGCTATTTTCTGTTTATTCCATCCTTGCATCTTCTGCCTTCTCTTGTGTAAATATTGGTTTACATTCAGTTTACCAATTCATTTCTTATTCATATCTTTACACATGTTATTGGTTACCCTTGGCCTCATGTGTCCTTAATGAAGGAGGTGAAGTTTAAATTATTTCATGTCATTTCTAAATGTATTATATGGATTTCATAGAATGGTCTGGCACCAATTCTTCCTGTCCCTAAGGCTGCAGATAAAAATATTCTAAAATATTAGAAAGCATGATGCCTGAAAAACTCATAATTCCCAAGGTACAGGGTACATTATTTAGATGGACTTGTTTAAGAAATAGAAAATAATTAGGCCTATACCAAGTGCTCACAGGTCAAATCTTAACAAATTAAATCTTAACAGCAAGCTCATAAGGATCAAATTCTTTCCAAATACCTTAGCTGTAGGCCGGAATACATTGTAACCCCCAAATAATCAGAGTGATACGAAAATATACAGTACCTCTGGAAAGTAGTTGAATTTCAGACTCTAGCAAGAAGCAAACAGACTAGCCTCCATCATCCTAGAGAGAAAACAGTGACCTGTTGTTTCAAAAACCCTGTGATGGTGAGGTTGTTTTCAGAAACCCAGTGGCCCAGGCAGGAGCAATCTGGGAGAATTGGCACTGGTCCAGTGTGAACTGAAGCCAGGGAAATCCTGAGGTGGCAGCAGGAAAGAAAGCAGGGGCGGGTCCTTGGGGCTGGGGTGACCAGGGCAAGGGTTCTGAGTGTCCTAAGATGAAGCGACACCATTAGAGAGTTATGAACAGGGAGGTGATGTGACCATATTTCTGTCGTATTCTGGTCATGTCTGGGTGTACATTGAAGTCCAGGGCAAAACATTTTCCTGGTGTTTTCTCTGCTTTCCTTTCTCCAGAAGCCCAGAGCCCTCACACCTACATGGCCTCCCTGCCTCCCCTTCAAACCTTCCCAGGTCTTCAGTGCCAGCCCAGGTTTCTTGGTTAAGGTGGGCACAGACCTAGGACCATACAGGGCAGTAGTTAGGGACTATGGCAAGATTCCAAGGGGAAGACTTAATGGTAGATTTCAGAGAATACAATCATGACCCACACTTGGGAATCCCCAAATGCGGAATACCAGAGAGTGGAATGTTGAACAGATTGAGCAGGGTTCTTTTAGTGATTAACACTAATCCACAGTATTATTACAGGAGTGACGTTTTCCTCCTATTACCAATGTCTGGGCTGCATTGGACTCATGCTGCGTAGTTTGGAGCTCACAAACCCGAGAACCCTTCACAGCATCTTCATCTGCTCCCTGGGCACAGAGTGAGGCCGAAGGCCTCCTGGGTGTTTCTAATACAGTATGTAAAAGATCAAGACCCTAAGTGAACACATCACACAGCACCCAAGAACAGAAGGCTCCACACTTGGCAGGGCAGTGTGACTGGCTAGGGGGCTTTTCTGTCTTCTCTCTGGACTGGTTTTCTTCTGTGAGAAGGACCAATGTCCTGTAAAGGACTGTTGTGAGGAATAAAAGATTATTCAGGAAAGGAGAGCCCTGACATCTTTATCAGAGACAGAACAAGTTCTCCTGAGCTGCAGTATACTAAATATATAAACTCCTGAGATCAGGACTGAGATTTGCCATGTTAATGTATTTGCATTCACATTTATATCCACATATTTATATATTACATTTGCATATTTACTTTTGCCAGGCAAATAGCACTTTGTTGTCATGCTGTTCACTGAGTCAAGATGGCCACACCTCTGCTTCAGGGCAGCCCAGAGCCCATGTTCTCCTCTGTGACTCAACCTCTAGCCTGTGCATTTCTTCACTATTGTGTTCTGGTGTGGGTTCTGCTTTTGTTTCTCCAGGAGCCCAGACCAGTTACACCTGTATTGCCTCCCTGCCTCCCCTCCAAGGGCTCACAGGTCCTCTTTGCCTGGCACTGGCTTCTTGCTAAAGTGGGCACACCCAGGGTCAGGCGACAGGGCTGCTACCTTGCTAATTAAAAGCTCCGGAGTCCCGGGCAGACTCTCAATGCCTGCAGATCCAGCTGCAGCGAAAGGTTTGATTCCAGAGACAAGAACTTCTTTGGACAAAGGTAATTTCTTCTATTTCAAGCCTTCTGGGGGAGATCTTTCACTGCTTTCTGTCTAGCCCTGGAAGCTTCTGGAGGCCTTGGCCCGAGGTACAAAGTATCAGAGAAGTTAGAGTTGCTTATAATAAAAATGCTGCTTCCATTTTGCTTATTCTCTGCTTTTAGACAACTCTCATGTGAGGCACTGAGGGTCTTGGACCGGAAGGACTGTGAACAACTTGTTCTCATTGTAAGAGACTGTGGACTTTGTAGATCTCGTGCTATTAACCAGGATCTCAGAATCAAACATCTTTAGAGATGTTTGAGAGACTTGTGATGTGGCTGTGGATGTCCACATGCAGAATCCTTGGAGGTGCCTGTCTGAATGAAGAGCAAAGGAATACACAAGTCAGAGAGATGGGTTTTCTGACAGATAAGCAGGAATGCTCAGTGTAAGAGAAGGAGGTGTAGCCATACCCTAGCGATGGGGAGCTAGAACAGGGTGGGCAGCACACCTTGTTCCTTCTAAGCCTTGTAATTCAATGCACAAGAAGGCACTTGGGGTGATGGAACTTCCTCTCCATCCAGATGTGGTGGCAGATGGCATTTCAAAGCCATCACCACCCCGAGACCTAGGACCACAGCAGTCACTAAAGGGCTGGATGTGTCTTCTCAGGGCTTGCTGGCCTTGAAATACATTTTGTTCTGTCTAGGTACACTTTAAACCATCAGTCTTGCAGAGGACCAGGGTTCAGTTCCCATCACCCACACTGGGTAGCTCACAACTGTCTGTAACTCCAGTTCCAGAGGATCCGACTTCCTCTTCTGTCCTCCATAATCAACAGGCATACACTTGGTATACATGCATACAGACGAGAAAAATACATACACACATAGATACCATAGATGAGTCTTTAAGACATTTTAATGTGAATATAAGGCAAGGGCTTAAGGAGGCTCTTACTAATGAATTTTTATGAAATTCTAGATGCATTTAAGAGAAGAATATCTTTCTTGTTCTTTCTCAGGGCCAGGCAACGATGGCCTTCTCTCCACAATCTAGAGTATGTTATCCTGTTCATGAAAACTCTGAAGATCAACAAAGTAAGATCAACAAAGAAGGTAAGTATGAATCACAAACCAGTTCTGACCGTCTCCATTTGCTCTCACCAAAGGGTCTAAAGGGCCTGTTTCATTTTCTTCATCCACAAATCTATTTACTCTGGCTGAAATATTGAGAAGCCTACATATTGAAATCTCAGGGCACTTAGTTCTTTTCTTGTTAGTTATATTTAGAATTGTTTGTTCCATCACACAGCCCAGTACATCATTGATGGGGCAGATGTTATTGTGGGCCAACTCAAGGGTGTGGGTGGTAGCTAAACTGGCCATTGCAACCCCACCCCTTCAGGCAAGGGGCAGGGCCAGCTGTCCTAGGCCCATGCCATTGGAGAGGGCCAGCTCACTCTTGCCTGTGGTGAGGTATGGGACAGAGAGAGGGTAGTGTCACCTCTCCCATGGTGGGTATGTTAGTTCTTCTACTGTAGTGTCGATCAAGAGGAAGGGCCAGTTATCCCAGGACCAGTATAGAGCTGGGCTGGTCCAAAACAGCCCTTGGATTTCAACACACATAAGCCCTATGACCCCTTGTGGTAACACGAGTCATCGACCTTCAGACCAGACTTAGGCTGCTGTTGGACTAAGGACCCAGACAGGACCTACTGAAGTAGCCTGGGCCAGGACAACACTATAGCCTGTGTGACTGTGCTCACCACTCAGATAGGCCTGGCCTTGTTGGGCATGGCTCTCAGACACCAACAAGAGCATAGGGTGTGGACCAGACCCCGAGTAGCCAGTGGCCCTTGATGGCACCGTGGGTTATGGACATCAACACAGACCCTGACTGTGGTAGAAGCACAGATCCGGACATAGTCTTTGGGAGCAGCTTGGACTTAGATGTCACAAGAGTCCCAGGTGGCAGCATGGGCCACTCAGATTGACATGGCTCTGTGGCAATGAGGCCCTCAGACACCAACAAGGCCACAGGCGGTGGCCTAGACCCTTGGCATCTACATTGGCTTCAATGGTCTCAGGAGCCACAGACGTCAAAACAGACCCTGATTGTCGTAGGGCCATGAACCCAGATATGGCCCTCTGCAGCAGCCCCGACCAAGACAACACCATGGCCCCAGAGGCAACATAACCCTGAGACAACAACATGGCCATAGCATGTGACCTAGACCCTGGGTATCCGTGTGGGACTGGTCCTGTGGAACAATAACCACAAGATCTCCACAACGCCAGGCAACAACAGGATATTGGGAGGAGTTTCAATGAGGGCCCAGTAATGATGGTGAGCCGGAGGCCAGAAACATTGAGCCAGACTAAGGGCTCATTGCCAGGTACATTTTGTGTGTGGCACTGATTGGACCGAAGGGTATAATGTGTGACACTCCCAATTGCAGCTCCCGATTCCACTAGGATGAGCGAAGCAGGCGTTGAAGACTTTCAGACTAAAAGTGAGTTTTTCATTTTTTTTTGTTTGTTTGCTTTGAATTAAGATTTGGCTGCAGAGATGAGGGCCAGATATGGAGGGACTGGGATGAGGGTGGGATTGGAGTGTATGGTGTGAAGTTTCCAAAGAATCAATAAAGAATTATGTTAAAAAATTGATTGTTTATTTTGATTAAGAAGATAAAGAAAGAAATTACACACATGGCAGGTTTAAGTAGTCTTGGTTGCTGCTATGTGCAGACTTTATAAACCAGGAAAAGGTAACTCCAGAAGAAGTGGCAAGTGCTGTGCATCTTCTGCAAGCAGGAATGTACCCAGTTCTTCTCTGTGCCTCAATCCATACACCGGCCCTGCCCTATTTCCCTTCCTATGGCCATTTCTTCTCAGAACAATGTCTATCACAGAAATTCACAGTTCATTGTCATTAGAATGGAGCCCAGACCTTAAAGCCAATTATACCTACTCCTGTGTCTTGTGCTTTTCTGTTATCTGGCAGCTGAGGAAGAAACCATATACTGCAATATCTATGACACCCAGCAGATGGTGTGGGTCCTGGCAGGAAATTCTTTAATAGCAGTGCCTGCTAGCAGCAATGTCAAGCCTGGTAAGTGACACCTGAGGGGACTGTTACTCTTGAAGATCCATCAGGTCCACTGCAAGTGGACATCAGCCTGCCTAAGTCTTCTGCCTTCCTTACCTGGTCACCAATCTGACATTCAGAGGACAAGCAAGCCCCCTCCCCCACTGCTACAAAGGAATACATATACATAGAAACAACAGCACACTTCCCCTCACAAAATCATCTCCAAATAGGAGTGGTTGGTATAACAGTCGCTAAGTTTCTTTTAGAATGGCATTCCTTTAAAGTCCAACCAACATCTACCCACATCTACAGATTCAAACCTACCTATCTTTGCACCGTCAACATGGCATGCTCTTCTCTCTCGGCATTTCCTCTTCTAATAATGCTGAAACATTCCCTTTCTCATCAGAAGGAAACCCATCTCAGCCTTGTCTCACTTCTTTAAAACTTCCATGTTTTGCTTAATCCCCCTCTTAACCTTGCCCATCACAGAGAGACTCTCATATCACATCCCCAGCCTCAGTACCAAAACTAGCTCTTCATTCCCTCTTTCTCTTCCTTCTACCTTTGTGGTAGTCAGCTTTTCACTAGTGTGACAGTTTGTTCTCACCACCACCAGAAATAGCTTAAAAATACTTAAAGATTGATTTGGGCGAATAAGTTCAGAGTTTTCAGAGCCTTCTGCTGGCTCCACTGATTTTTTTTAGGTATCTGTCAAGACAGACACATGGTATGGTGGAAAAGAGCTGGTATCCTCATAGGAGACAGGAAGTTGTGGGGAGGTTACATACAACCTTGTTGCTTTAAAGGAACATCACCAGTGACCAGTTAGGTCTGGTATCCAAGAACTCATTCAGTTGTGAACTCATTAATAGATTAATCCATTGACACAGTTAGGATTTTCAATAGTGCCCCCAGATGATGTTCAATCCTTCAATATATGAGACTTGGAGGGGAACATTCCATATCTTGCCCAAATCTCCAATGTCCACCTATGGCTTTGTCTTAGCTCAGTAGTTAATAAATAGTTGTTGAGTGCATTTGTTTCCTGTTTGTTCTCTCTCAAGAAAAGAAAAGAATCCCCACATTCTTGGGAATCCCTTGCTAAATTATTAGATAATTAAATTCAACCAAGAATAATAGAAAATTCACACAAGAACTTAAATAAGATAGTAGTTTGTTTCTTCCACGTATAAAACCATTGGCTGGGCCAGGCTGGGTTCCATGTTGGTTCCATGATGCAACCAGAGATCAAAGAGTCTACCTTTCTGCTTCACCAACCTCGGGTTTGACAAATGAAGTATTTCCAGGTGAGTCTAGTCTCTTAAGGAACACTTGTAGTAACCCTTCAGGATACCTCCACTCATATATCATGTACCACAAGTTTATGGCTATATCTTATTTTTATTTTTGGGAAACAATGTGCCCAAGTGACAACTGAGGTTCTGGTATCAAGATGAAAAAGGAAATTGGTCCCAGGAACACAGCCAATAATCATTGTCATATGGCTAATGTGGGAGCTTTGAAGGAGGAGATGATGATGATGATGATGATGATGATGATGATGATATTTTGGAGGGTTAATAGAGTGTGGGTCAAAAGACTGAATTTCTTTTGGAGCCTGACATTTTCCCCATTTTCCTTGTGTTTCTAGTCATTCTAAGAATGATAGCATGTAGAGACACAGAATTCCAAGATAATGAAAAAGGTAATCTAGTTTTTCTGGGAATCAAGGGCAAAAGTCTTTGCCTGTTCTGTGCTGAAATCGCGGGCACACCGACTTTGCAGCTTAAGGTGAGTACCTGGAAATGGTAGAGGAGGTATACCAGACAGACTTTTATTTAAGGTAGCTTATACAGGTTAGAGAATAAAAATGATAGCCCTGCAAGTTTGGCCTCTTCAGAGTAAGAAAGGAACCCTCACCTGGCTGGTCCCCAGATAAGTAACAATGCTGCTGAGTTATACAGCATTTTTTAAACCCAAGATTTGGGATTGAATGTGAAAATTAGAGCATCAAACTCATGAAAATGTTTTTGAAAAGTGAAGAAATAGTGGCTTCTTCACCCTTTGTCCTGAGTAACTTCTTCCTAGATACCATCAGAGATGCCAATAAGTCACACTAGGCAAAAGATTGCTCTTCTGGAGTTTTCAATATATGTACTCACATCTGTGCTAAAAGAATAGATATATAATTAAAGGTCTCATCGCTTGCTAATGATGGACGTTATAATACATAAATTCACTCAGAGGTTGGATATGGCGGCTGGCTGGTAGGAAACTGTAGATGAATGAATACCAGAAGCCCTCCACCTCTACCCCACTTTCTTCCAGGGAACACCTTCCTTAAAATAACCCCTTGTATCATTGGACTCTGAAAAAAGTAGGCTATTTGGAAACTAGTGGGTGCCTGGTTTGATAGCTTGCTATCTCTTCATTTCCCTGTATCCCTAACCCATGTCCCTCCTATTGGACACAGCTGTTGCTCCCATGATGTGCACTTAGTGCTCAATTACTGTAGCCTCCTCCCCCTGGCCATCCTCATTAATAAGTCTCTTTCTTACCCTAGGATATAGACATCATGACAATTTACAAGGAGAGAAAAGCACAGAAAGACTTTCTCTTCTACCACAGCACAGAGGGCTCCACTTGTGCCTTCCAATCAGTCTCCTATCCTGGCTGGTTCATAAGCACCCCTGCCACAGCAAGACAGACAGTCACCCTCACACAACAGAGGGGTAAAACTACTAGCACCAACTTCTACTTAGAGTCTGAAGATTAAAGTCCAGCATGGGCCATATGTGTCCAGGCCAAAGAATCAAACTGCTGGAGAATTCTTTACTTGAAAACACAGCAAGGCATTGTAAAAGACCACTGTGTCACCTCTTCACCAGACGTCCATGTTGAAGGGTCACTCATCTGAACATCATTCCAGTGTGAAGCCTGAGAATCACTTTTATCCTTTTCTGATCTTGTCCAACCATCCATTCATCTACCAAGTACAGTCAAGTCACAGACTTACATGCAACTCTCCCTCCCTGTTCTCACAGCAGCCCATGGGCAGAGATATAGATTCCAGTCAGTGCAAGATTCTTCCTTCTTAACTTTACATATGCTTATTGTAAATATGATAAATTCCAAAAAGATAAATGTCAAGAATGAAGCAATATAAAAGAAGATTTTATGTGTCTTTCTGATCGTGACAGATTCAGAACATCATCATTTAATAATTTGACGCACAGTATATACTTTTATTATGGTGACTGCTAACCAAAGTGAATATAAAATGAATCCAAATTTCAGAGAGCTGTTTACATTAACATGAATTTCAAACTAATTATAATGCCTTTATTTAACTTTACAAAGTGATTTGAAATTGAAGAATTAAAAAATCATCTCTGATATTGTGTTTTCTGGAATTTTAATTGTGTCTGTGGGACAGTTTTCAGTCAGTTGCTTGTTGTGTGAGGGTGTGGTGGTCTGAATCATAACACCCCCTGGTGAGTCTTATTTGAACCCTTAGTTACCAGGGAATGGAACTGTTTGAAAGGATTATAAGAATTTGGAGATGTGGCTTTGTTGGAGAAAGTGTGTCTCTGGCAGTGGCTTTAGAAGTTTCAAAAATCCATGCCATGCCCACAGTCTTTCTCTCAGCCTATGGATCAGGATACACAACTCTCCGCTACTTCTCCAGGACCATGTTTGCTTGCATGCCACCACGTTCCCTGCCATGATGATTCATAATGGAATAACCTCTGACACAGTAATCAAGCCCCCAATTGAATGTTTTCTTTTATAAGAGTTGCATAGGTCATAGTGTTTCTTCACAGCAATAGATCAGTGACCATGACAGAGGGTTAGTTCAGCTGGAAGCCACATATTTACAACAGACTCTGGAACTCTGACTGCAAACATGAGCATGACAACCTCTCCTCCTTCAGACCCCAACATGCAAAACAGTACATTAGGCCTTGTAATGCTGCAACTTCACTGTTGACTTCAAAGTTCTTGGCTAAGCAAAATGTGTTCCAAAATCCGTTCTAGCCTCATCTCCTCTAACATTAACACTAGTGATTCTGTCTGAGACATTCCTTGAATCCTGCATTACATCTCACAATTTATGACTTAGCCCTGTCATTTCTGTGCAACAGTCTTCAAGCAGTCATTATATGACAGAGTCTTAGTTAGGGTTTCTATTGCTGTGAAGAGATACCATGATCATGGCAATTCTTATAAAGGAAAACATTTAATTGTGGCTGGCTTAAAATTCAGAGGGTCAGTCCATTATCATCTTGGTGGGACATGACAGTGTTCAGGCAGAAATGGTGCTGGAGAAGAATCTGAGAATTCTCCATTTTTGATCTGCAGGTAACAGGAAGTGTACTGAACTATAGGTGTAGCTTGAGCAAAGGAGACCTCATTCCCCTGAAGTGACACACTTCCTCCAACAATGCCACCCCTACTCCAACAAAGTCACAACTCTTAACAGTCCTACTTCCTATGAGCTTATGGAGGCCAATTATATTCCAGTTACTTACCACTGAAGCTGGCTATCTCAGTCCTATTGGTCATCTCTTCCTGTGCCCTAGGATATCTGGGGAAGGACAGTTACAGGTTCTCCTTGGTGTTCACACATGCACAAACATAGGTGTGCGGCAGAGCTGTTCTATGAAGAACCCTTGACCGATGTATGCGTGAACAGGTTAGGGATACGTGCACTCTACTATTCCTCACCAACACAATTCTGTGATGT